CCCATGCAGCAAAACTCAGTGTTATAATGTGAAATTTTTTGGTGAGTGGGGTAGGGAAGGCGGGGGGAATGGACCTCTGAGAAACAGGACTTCAGGTATTCCTGATGAAAAAAACAGAGTTACACAGAAGCTCTGAATTTCAGACTTAGGAGATAAAATGGTAAATACCTTGAGTGCTTTGCTTTATAATAATTTATCAGTTGTAATTATCTACAATAAGAAAGTACTGTGTGATTTATAGGAAGAATATAAATCCAGGGAAAACCTGTGTGTAACCAAACTATGATATAGTCCTAGGAAAATTCCTGTGTTAGTTGACTTAAGGAGTGTAATTATGATCATTACAAAGTGAGCAACCATATTAATCACATTTATATTAAAATGTAACAAGCTGCCCTGAGCTTAGGATGTAAAAGGGCCCTGTTGGAACCAAACGTCAGCTTCAGTAAAAAATAACACAGATCATTTATAGCATAACTAGCCTGTCTGCATCATACAAGAGATAAGGAAACTATAAATAATTAATGAATCTTGCAGGCTGGGGTCTCAGATCATACTGGTTGGACTGCAAGCCACAACCTTTTTTTTTCCTTAATAAAAGTTGATTTCTTTCATCAGAAAGGGTTTCAAATTTCTTTCTTACAGAATGAAAAGAGGGGCAGGTAGGTGGCGCAGTGGATAGAACATGGGCGCTGAAGTCAGGAAGACCTGAGTTCAAATCCGCCCTTAGACCAAACACTTGACACTTACTAGTTGTGTGACCCTGGGCAAGTCACTTAACCCCAATGGCCTAAAAACAAACAAACAAAAAAAAAAACGAGGAAACAGAGTGAAGAGAAATATAAAAAGATAAATATATACAGTCTAGTATTGGTATTCATTAAGTAAGCAGGAAAAGAAAGGAATGAGACAGAAGGTTCATTAAGAGAAACATCAGTCAGAAGTAAAAGAGACTCTTAAAAAGAGGCCATGGAAAAAAGAAGATAGGTGGAAATACATGATTAATAACCATAACTGTAAATGAGATTAATACCCCATAAAACAGAAGTGGACAGTAAAATGAATTAGAAACTAGACAGATTTAATAGAAACATACTTGAAACAGAAAGATCCCTGGATAGAAACATAAGGAGCTGAAGTACAATCTTATCTTTCAGGTGAGGTTAAAAAAAAGTAGGATAAATAATCATGATTTCAGGCAATATGAAAGCAAAAACAGACATAATTAAAAAAGATGAGCAATACATTTTAACAAAAGGTCCCACAGAAAATTAATGTCAATACTGAATGCATCAAACAGTAGAGCACACAAATTCCTGAAGGAAAAGTTAAATGAATTGGGGGGAAAATATAGTAAAACTGTAATAATAGTGAGGGACCTCAATTTACCTTTCTTAGACCCAGATAAATCTTAGCACAAAATAAACAATAAAAAGTTAAAATGAACAGAATATTAGACAATTAAAAAAATAACACCTATGGAGAATACAGAATGGGACTAGAAAAGGGTATTTCTGTTTCTTAATCATGCATGCTAATTTCATAGAAACACAGTATGTATTAGGACACAAAACCTCAGCAAAAAATGCAGACATTAGATTTATTTTTTTATGTCTATAACAGAACAAAAATTACATTCAATAAAGGTAGGAAAAGTGGGGACAGAGAAAGAGAGTGAATGGAAAAGGAACTGAATCTTTACATAATTATGCATATTATATAACATGCACTGTGTTCAGCACTGGTTGAATAATTATTGTCTCATTTTAACCTACAATAACACTGAGAAATAAGCACTATCGTTATTCCATTTTTACAGTTTAGGAAACTGTAATACACAGATTCAAACTAGATGGATGAACTCAAAGGTAAATTATTTATATTGAATGTTACAAGGACTTATACTTGACACAGAACTTTTTTGGTATTCTTAACACATCTGCAGGTGCCAAATAAACAGGATCCTGACAGGCTACAAAACTGCGAAACTACACATAAAATTAAGTGCAAAATCTTAAACTTGGACGCAAAAAAGTCAACCTACGATGTAGGAAAAAAGCAATTATTCTTTTAAAATTTATAAGACTTTAGTGATCTTGGTAACATATTAAGAGTGGAAGAGGGAGGTAATACTCCCACTATTTTCTGGAATATTTCTGGAGTTTTCAATTAAAGTCATCATGGTTTAAGAAGGTAAAGAAATCAAGATATTGAAAGGCCTTAAGACAATAACATGTAAGGTTGTTTGGAGGAATTGGGCATGTTTAGCCTAGAGAAAAGAATAATCAGAGGGAAAATGATACCATTCTTCAAGCATCTGAACTAGTGAAAAGTGGGAGATTAAAAGACTTGTTCTATTCAACTCAAATGAGAATGAACCAGGAACAATGCGTGATAATGTAAAGGGCTATAAGATTGCTGGCAGGAAAAGCTTCTTAAAGTTAATAGTAGTGGAGAGTTCACCCTCACTGACAAATCTTTAAGCAAAAGTTTAACAGCTAAATGATGCTATGATGGGAATATACTGTTTGCCTCTAATTCTCAAAATCTTTGGTTCTTAAGGATGAAATAAAACTAAAAGACATCAATAATTTAAAAAAAGACTAAGAGCAAATGAAGGTAGCAAAGAGATCGTCTTTTCCAGAAGTCTGTCTATGAAAGAGAGGAAAGCTATAGAAAATTGAGGGGCTGATGGAATTAATTTGAAAGTTTTTTTGTTTTTTTTGGGGGCATCTGGGTAAGTTTGTAGCCAGACCAAGTGAAGTCATAGTAAAGATTAGAGCAGGGATGACCAAATTACTCTCCTTATTGCTAATCTCCTCCATGAGTAGTTATTCCTATTAAAATGTAAGCTGTTTGAGGACAAGAATTTTTTTTTCTGTGTATTTGCATTTCCAAAATTTAGGGTAAGGCTTGCCACAAAGAGTGCTAAATATAAATATTTATTATATAAATGTAAATAGAGCTTCTTTATTCAAAGAAAAGCTACCAGAGATGATAGTGACCTGAATCAAGAATACAAAAGAGAAACTTGGGAAAATGGGACTTTGGAGCATGATGCTGATGATGTAAGGTACAGAATTGTGATAATCATATGAATGAAATAAGGTGCTATCAATAAGGGAAAGAAGATTCACTATGAGGTTTTCATTGACATTCAACAATTAGTAAGTAGGAATAGAAAAGATAGGATTACTTCAGGATTAATTAGATTAACTTTGGAGAAGGGACAGAGAAAACAGGAAAAGGGAATGAAAGGTTTAAAATAAGGTATGCAAAATTATATTGCTGAAAATAGAATTAAGATTGCAAAGGAGGAAGGAAAAACTTGAAACTTTCAATGATATAAGTACATAAGTGATAGATGAAATACAAGAAGATAATATCATTAAAATATGAATTTTTTTTTGGAAGGCATGTTACACTTGCTGTAATGTTATTTGATGGCATTTAACTTA